AATGCATGACAAACTAGGGCATACGGTTTTCGGCTGCCATGTGGCTATTTGCCAGGATATGAGTTTTATCAATGGTGTCCCGCTTTACCAATGTTAAAATCTGGTCACCTTAGTCTTGAAGCAGCCTCAAATTACAGCAACACAGTCCACAGGCTAGGTGTCCCACTGGTAGTGTAGCTTGCAAATCCAGAACAAGCAAGGCAGCCGCACGCTGGTCCGATGATCAACGAGCGAGAGACAAGAAAGGCGAGGCTTGCCGAGCCATTTATCTCTCCGCCCTTCAATTAATCCCACATGTGTTTATCGGCCAGGCTGGCACAATAAACGAATTACCTCAAGCACATTTCTTCCTTCTTGTATACTCATTATTCGTGTCATTATTTAACTGCGGCAAAAATAGACACAACAAAACATTCTCCAATCCAGCACCTTCTGCCTGTACGTTTAAGTGGTGTTGATTTTACCCTTTTGTGCAGCCATTAGCAAATTCGCGCTTGAGAGTCAGGTGAAATATGCAAGAGGTCATCTTTTGGTTGTGGTGGACTTGTTTTGATTTCCTTCAGCTTCAAGCTGCACTTACACAGGTGCGAAGAATGGTCTGAGCCAGTGGCCTCTGGCCCGCCTCTGTGCAGACTGGTCTGAGAGGGACTGCCCCAGCCCGCGCTAACCTGACAGGGCCGGCCAGCCCCCTCTAGGAGGACAAGCCCCTGCCCCAGTGCTCCATGGGCAGGAATGCTCCCATCCACTCAATGCTGTTCCGAGCTCCTGATTTCGGCCTCCGCTAGCCTCCTCGTAAGTGGGTTTGGGCAGCTCTGACTCTGCCGGACTCTGGCTGCAGCTTCAGGACGAGGCCTGGCCAACCCCACCCATGTTCCACTGAGGCAGCCCACCTGCTCCAAAACTCTCTCTAGCTATTTAAAAGCAAGCCCATGGGCTAAACAGGAAAAACACTGAGCACTAGAGATGTCTGACCTGGCTTTGGCTTACCTCTCTTTATCTGGGAAAATTAGTTTATTGTTAAAAAAAAAAATCAACAGCACAAACACATGTAAAATATATAAACAATGTAAAGCCTGTCTCCCACGCTTGTCCCCCAGGCTTCCGATCCCTGTGTCTGGAAGCAACGACTGAGACCAGTTTCCCAGGTGCCTGTCCAGAAGCGTACTGTGCTTAGAGAAATGGTTTGTGCACAAGTGTACGTATTTGTGTATACACACACACACACACACACACTCGTGCAGCAGAGTCTGGAATGTGTTTTTCTTTTCCCACGTAGCAGCACATGACGACTCAGTGTTCCTCGCCAGCTCTATCTGGAAGCTTGGAGACGATTCCTATGCACACATTGTTTTCCTCTGTCGTCCAAACAGCCCCTGTGCCCATTGCTCCACCATCACCTTCTTGGTGGGCTGTTGGCAGTTTCTGGCCTGTTCTGTGACAGTCACTGTGTGGCTGTCACCTAATCGAGTGTCAATTGAAGGATTAAGAGTGTAGGGGTGGAGTCTAGGCTGTCAATCTGGAGATAGCCAATGAGGCTTCTGCGGGCATGGCCTTCTCCTGAGAATTCTGGGAAATCTGGTACTTCCTCCTTAGAGGCCGAAGACACCAGTATCTCTCTGTTCACTCCCTGGAAGACATTTGCAGAAGACAAGCCACATGGACGCAACCAGACCTCAGAAGCCAGAGAAGCCACAGAGAGACCCTTGCCAGCACTGAGATGTTTCTAATGACACTGGATCCAGACTTTCTACCCACTGGCCTGTGATCTTTTGCATTTGGCGTCATTGCATGTGTTTTGTGAGTCTGAAGAGGACTTTATAAATTGATATTGGAACTATGGGCTAATATCGGACTTATGGACTTGATGTGGACTGGGTTGGGATGTTTTCGCAATGTTCAGTTGGTCTTGTATATAAATCTCTTTCTTATGCACATATGTGTGTCCATGGGTTTGTTTCTCTCGTCTCCGGAGACTGCCACACACCGCCTCAGTGACTGGCCGTGTAGTCATGTTCTGTCTGCAGACCTCTTGGAGACACGGAGTCAATCAAGGACAAGGTGAGTTGTATTACCAAAGTGCCTGCCAAAGAAATTGTTCCTGCAGTTACCAAAACTGTGATTATACCGGCTTCCTCGACATGCAAGGGGATTCGTTTTCTTAGGATTCTGATAGTTTTAATGTGTGTCCTGAGTTTGAAAACCTTAGTGTTTAAAGGTTGATCTGTATTCTCTGCAAACCTTATCTTCATGTTTTTCTTCTTTTACTGACTTCTCAGAGCTCTTAGTTGGACATTGAATAAGGGAGACCATAGACGAATCAATACATTTGAATTGTGGTGCTGAAGAATACTGACAGTACGACTGCGCACAGGACAGATTGATCTGTGGGACGTGGGCAGGCCAGGGTGCTCCTGATAGTCGAGGATGGCAAGACGTGGTCCTATACGTTGGACATACTGTCAGCAGACTAGTCTCCACACGCTTGGTCCAGCGGAGGGCCGTTGAAAGAGGAGGGCCCTCAGGGAGATGGATGCACGCAGGCTGCATCTCTGGGTTCAGGCATAAGAGCAGTTGGGAGGACGGCGCAGGACTGGGCAGTGTTGCCTTCTGTTGAGAGAGCGGTTATGGGTCGGAGCAGACTTGACGGCACCCAACCATAACAAGAGTTCTTATGAAGAAAATTAGCTTTGTTTCATGTTTTATTTCCCCCTATTTGCCCTTCACCCTTTATTCTGAAACTTTGTAAGTCCTTGTGCTCTAATGTTAGGTTGAACACTTTCATCTCTCTGGAATCTGCGTTGGGGTACAGAGCTCATTGGAGTGTCCTTTTCCCAGATGGGGTGCTCAGGAATCCCCTCACCCCATGTACCGAGGAGCTGGCGGTGGAGGCCGAAAGTTCTGTGTAGACACTTTGCTGTGTCCATGTTCCCAGAAAGCAAAACTCACTGCTCCTGGGACAAGGCACTGGTGGAGGAAGAAGGGCTGTGCTCACCTCCCGCCACAGCTCTAGAAACAGCCACCATCGGTTCTCAGAGGGCTGGACTTAGGAAAGCATATCCCACTTCCTGGCTAGCTTCCCTCTTTTCTTAGCCCAGACTCACTGGCTGGATTCCCGCTAGGAAGACCGGGAAGGACACTCAGCCTAAGCCAGGCCACGTCATCAGACCATGCTGTGCCCTGGCAGGGCTCGGGACGACTGGGGCTCATGGTTGTCCCACCCTGTGGTCAGGAGAGGGGGTTCCAGGGGCATGGGGGAATACCAGGGTGATTCTATCCCCACTGGCACCAGCTGCTTGCATCACCATTGACCTAGTCAGCTGAGGCTCCAAGAGAAGAGGGAATTCTAAGCCGCA